AAAGTGTTTACACGATTCCTGTTTGTGATCCAGATTTCCTATAACCCAATTTCGAAATTCCCCAACATGTTGTCTCTAAGTTGTCCATATCAACAAAGGAATATCGATCCTTATAATCTATGGAAGGCGAACTCAGAGGTGCATGAGTTCCTGTTTTGCAAACAAGTTATCGGTCTAATTTTAATGGTTTTGTCCATGCACTTAAATGGATTTACAACTCGACCCTTAGCCTATATGGATTTTTTTTTCTAAAAAAAAACTATTTTTTGAAAATATCCATTAAAAAGGGATGAAAATTTTGAAACACAAAACAAGAAAAGAAGGATACACCATCCATCTTTTATTATTTTTCATGATGTTGAATCAAGATTTGTATGTAAAAGATTTTTGAAATATAGAAAGGGAAAAAGGAGAAAGAAAAATAATATGTAAGAATGACATAAAGAAAGAAGAAAAAACATTTTGAAAGATAAAGAAAGGGAAAGGAGAAAGATAGATTGAGAAAGAAATTTTTTAAAGTGTTGCACAACATCAACTTACTAGTGAATTTTGATTATTTTTTGTGAAATTATAATTTTTTTGTGAAGTAACATTATTTTTTTTAGAATATGATTAAAAAAGTCGTGAAATATATGGAAGGATGCTCTGTAAAAAGAAAATTCGCAAAAGCATATGTATTTTGTAAAATATTTGTGTAATATTAATGCGATAAATATTAGAAAAAGTAGTCGTTTAGGGGTATACCATAACTTTTTTTCGTTATTTTTATAATGTCATTGTAATTTTCCTATTTAGTTATTTATTTAGGATATCACAACAACATACATGAAAACACTAATTGAAAGACGATACCAAGAAAGGCTTTGTGTACAATCAGGTTAGTACTTGCATTGAAGATTTAATGTATATATATTTAGGGATAATGACTTAAAAGAGTAATATATTTTTTGATTTGTACATATTTAGTCACCGATTTTTTTTTTTCGTTCATATTTACCCCTTCAACTTGTTAAACCGTACACATTTAGTCCTTATTACCGGCAGGTTAGCCGGTCAAAATGACTCAACAGGGTAATATATTTCTCACTTTGTACACATTTAGTCTTTAATATTTTTGTACACATTTAGTCCTTAATATTTTTTTTTGTTGCAAAATAAGTCATTTTTGTTTTTGTACTCATTCAGTACTTATAAATGATTTCTTTAGGTTTTTCTCACAACATCTTACGTGAGATAGCCATATGGTGGCGGGATAAGTTGAAGTGGTTCTGCTATATGTTGTAGACCAAGATATGGTGCGGATCGACTGTCAGCTATAGGCACGGAGGCTCGAGAAGAGCGGTTGGGTTAAGGCGGCATGCCGACAAACCCTGGGTATTCCAGTCTGATGACTGATTGGACCTGTTGTGTGTTGGCATTCCAGTCGGATGATTGATTGGGTCAAGGTATTCCAATATGATGAGTGTGGGCCCGTTATGCATGATAATACGTTTGTTGTATCAGGTATTTTGGGGAAAACTTACTAAACTTTGTGCTTACCCAGTTGTTTATGTTTTCAGGTTCTATCGTTGATCGTGGGAAGGTGAAGACATGACTGTACACACTCATCAACAGTATTGAGGATTCCGTGTTTCTTATATTACTCTGATTTTCGATAAATTTTGGAATAAACGTTTTTTCTTAATAATGGTTTATAATTAGGGAGTTTTGCCTTATTTAAAAATGAAAAATTTTTGTTGTGAAAATGAGACATTACACATAAACATCAACAGCCGCACATACTTCATCAATGATTGTCCCACGTAAGATATCGTGAGAAAAACCTAAAAAATCATTCATAAGTATAGAATGAGTACAAAAACAAAAATGACTTATTTTGAAACAAAAAAAATATTAAGGACTAAATGTGTACAAA